ATATATCTTAAAACGTTGAGATGTTATAGTTGTAAGCGAAAGTATAGTCACTAAACTCTAAAGCCGAAGATACTCAAGGATAAGTATAATAATAAGAAAATACAATTATACACAACTATAATAACTTAGATAAATACTAAGGTTAAGAACCTAGAAAGTTAATATTATGTTTAAAAAAAACAGTCAATTTCATACAAGTTGTCATCATGATCATAAACCAAATTAAACTTTTGTGTAAAATATTAACTACTCGTGTTATGATCAAATCGTAGCAAAACTTCAGAAATATCCTCGCATCATTCACTATTTATTCCGCCACCCTGTACTAACACACGTGCCAACGCTCAAAACGCAGCCTTGTGGTCCTGCTCCAACTTTTTCACCTTTTCTTTACACTACACACATATATATATATATATATATATATATATATATATGTATATATATGTGTGTGTATCACCTTATTTAGTCTCCAAGCTCCACCATTATGCTTCATATTGTACTATAGTTATAGTTCCCGAGCAATATTACCCCCACCATTTTCTTCAATGGAGGCCAAATGGGTCGACAGGGACATAATTGACCAGGATCAGCTGCAGGCAGAGAACTCTATCAACGCGGACACCGAGGAAGAAGAAGGCGGTGTCGGTGAATCGGAGAAGGAGAAGAAGAAGAAGAAAGCTGTGCCACCGCCGCTAGGGAGACTGCCGCGAGGCGGCTCCAGTGGTGGTGCGGTGTCGCCGCTGTCTTGTCAAGCGGGGAGGGGGGGGGCTGACCCAAGTGATGCCAAGAGGTCCCACCGCCGGCACAAGGTGTGTGAGGTTCATTCCAAGGCACCCGTTGTGCTTGTTGCTGGGCTTAGGCAGCGGTTTTGTCAGCAATGCAGCAGGTTACTTTTTCTAACTCTATAATCTATATCTATATATATATATATATATGTAATATGATCCGCTTTAATTTTTGGAGCTTTTTACATGTATATATATATATATATATATGTATATATTATGGACATTAGATTAGTTCATAAAATTAACATGATATGATCATATAAATTTAACGGTTTAAATTTGAGCTCTCTAATTTGTACAATATTTTTTCATACTCTACCGTTCACTATAACTTTCTTGCTCTTTTATCCCAGTAATTTTTTTTCTGCTCCTACGTACTTATATGTGCATAAAATTTTGGTACGAAGGTGACTCAATTCTCTACGCTTAGATGGGTGGAAAGGAAAGAAAGAGAATGTAATGAAATCCAAGTCTGATTTATAAGAAAATGGACATTCACCCATTTTAGACGAATCATCATTCTTTCATTACATGAGAAGAATAATCATTCTAAGTTCTTCTTCTCATTTTTTTCCCATAATTATTCTTCAATATTATAATATAATTACAATATATTATATAGTTGTTATATCATATAATATGTAATATAATATAATATAATAATATGATATGATATAATATAATATATAATA